AATATTAATTCAACAGAATTATTTGTTGTTGAGAGTGAACGAATCGAAAAGTAGCACATTATTTTCTAAGAATTTTTTTTTCTATATTCGAAAAATAATATAAATTCAATACGCAGAATATTTCGTTTATCATATTCTCTGAAAAAAGATTGGAGAATGAAGAATAACATACATTTAATGATTATAACAACATTAACTATGTTAATAACATTTTTTTTGCATTGCAGTCTTGAAAATACCAAAGCAAATGGTTTTATTATTCAAATTATATTAATCGATCCGACATACGATGTACTTTTAAATACGTCGTGTCTTTTGAACAAGAAATTATGTATGTATATTTTTAGAATATATAGTTTAACTTGTACTATATCATTCTAGTTAACAAAAATTGCAATTACTTTAATAATAGTAATTATGATCTTGATGTATCTCCATTAATTCCAGTAATAATCTTGGCAGAATCATTGACATTCTGGTATGATTCACAAAAATGTTCATATAATATTCGTCCCGTTATATATACAATAATCAACAGTTTACTTCTAGCTCGATTTTGTCATTCTTTTAATATCTGTTGTCAATTTGATATATTCACTGTATATTTTCTTATTTGGCAAATTATGTTTCTTATAACTGAATGGGAATTAGAAAAATTACCATTCATCTCATTGAGTTTTTATCGAGGATGGTTGTGTATAATGCCAGCATTTCATATGTATTTTCTTTATGATTTTTTTTTTCGGCGTTTACCAATAGAAGTGAACTTTCTCTATATATGGCTATTCGCTATTGCAGATATGTAAGTAAATAAAAATAATTTTTTTTCTTTTAAAAAGTGGTCACACAGGAAAATATTTTTCGACTTTAATAAAAACTCGTATATAGATAAAAGAAATCTTTCCAATTGAATAAAAATATTCATTGTCATATAGTAGCAAGAGGGGCTACCGGGACTTATTTTTTCGGGATTTATTTATTCAATAGGGATCTATTAATTATGATCATATTGCAACACATTAATACCCACATTCTCATCCTCACTGTTACTCACACTCTCACCCACAAATTCTATGTATTGAGAAATCATATGGGATTTTTCCCAAAGTGCTTAGGAACTTATTGGAAAGTCCCAATAAATCTCGATAAAATAAGTCCCGGTAGCTGCTGGAGTAAATATTAAATGACTTTTTATTGAGACAAGAAAAATCTTTTGTTTTTTATAAGATGATTCGAAATAAAGCATTGTGTGGTTGTAACTATCATTTAGATGTATAGATAACGAGAAAAAATTCTAATAAGAAACCAAAAATTTATAATTGATAGTTAAAGTTAATATAAATAAAGATTACTGTATAAATAGAAAGATTAATGTAAGTATTTCTTTTTGACCTGATTAGGATAATTTTCTAATTTATAAGTGATATTTTAAAAAACACAAATGTTTTCACTGTTTTTTTTATGTGAACATAGTTCTTTATTACGAAATGATCAAAAATAAATTATATCTCATCTAATGAAAAGTGGAAAAAAATCGTTGGTAACCCCTGTTGCAAAAGTCTTCGTACAAAATGTTCATTCATTTTTCAGTCACCTAAACATAATTAGTGAGGATCAGAAGTACTTATCTAAAATTAGAATTTTATGCTCTTTCCGAATATATGATCAATATATTTCTCTGATTTATGATTGATTAGAGATGAGCCAAAACTTTGACATAGTTGAAAATGATGTTTGTACAAAATTTTATTGAATATGTTTTGATCAAAACCTACTCAATGCAAAATATAAAAGATATTTGTATCAGTCAGTTTTACAGAGCGAAGTTTGTTCTACAAAATATACTATCTTCTTTGCTTTTATATGTAGAAGTAAAGACATGAAATCTGTTGCGTTATAAATAGAAGATTTCGGAAACACTGACTTCTTCACCGAATATTATTTAACATATCAATCAATTCTAAGAAAAACCTTGTTAACCTTTTATTCATGTGAGTTCAAGCCTATGATAATACATGGTTTTATAGAAGATTGAATGCTCTACAAATTGCCGTTTTAGAAGAATTGTTTCAATATGTAACCTACACAAGTAATCAATAGGGAGAAAACTTGTCATTTCTTCGTGAAGATGTCATTTTTCCTGTTCAGTGGTAATTTACAACTAGCCAAGCTTAAGCAAAAGTGATATTCTAAATATATATTATAGAAGAGCAGACACGACTGATTCATCCCTAATCAATCATAAGTGAGAGAAATATTTTGATCATATATTCAGGAAGAGCACAAAATTCTGATTTTCGATAACTACTTTTGATCTTCACTAATTATGTTTAGGTGACTGAAAAATGAATAAACATTTTGTACGAAGACTTTTTCAAAATGGGGTTATACTGATATAATGGATCCAGTTTTTGTGATTTGGGAACCTTATTTGAGTAAAATTATGTTTTAGAATTTATATCGAAAATAATAACTTTGCTAGGTTTTGAATTCTTAATCTTTCATGCTGTTCTCTTATGTTTTTGTGTACTCAAAAAAGTGAGTACACTAAAGAATCGATCAGTGTGTGCGTCCATTTACATGATAATTCTTGAAATGGTAGTCCGATTATGATGAAATTTTGCATACAGAATTGTCTCATTAATATTTCGGTCGAGTTCGAAGATGAGAATGATTCGTCATGAAATTGCTGAGTTATCGCAAAAATATCATTATTTTTTATGCGAACATTGACCTATTCCGATTGTCGTAAAAAAAAACTTTTTCTCTCATAATCAAACAAAACATCAGTTATTATATACCATTCGATAGAGAATTCTATGGGCTACAAAATGGTATATAAAACATTAAAAAACAAGAATGGGCTAAGTCACCTATTGTAAAGATACTTAAACGAAAATTTCTTCTGTGTTTTTACTTTTTGAAGTACACATAACTCTCGAATTTAAATCCGAGGTTTCCACATTTATTTTAAGTAGAATTCAAGATATAGAAAAGTTTATTCTGTAAAAATCCTATTTTAAACAATCATTTTTAATAATAAATGATGGTGTGGCGATAAAAATAAAAATAAGCAGCAGTTGAATCGATGAATCCTTTGTCTTTTGTTAATAGATACGTTTTATTATATTTTTTCTTAAATAGAATCTATTGTTTGCATCCGAAATATTATGATGAAAACACAAGATTACTTGGTGAACTTTATACCGATGATACACCATCTCTTATTGGTTTTTACTATACGTGGAACTTCGATGATGATGAATCAGATCAAGAAAACAATCGTGCAAGTCTTGGTCTTGGCGATTTTCTCATATTCAATCACATGTTGTTATTAGTATTACCTTCTGCATCGTCGATAACAACAAAAGTGTACATAACTATTGGTCATATCATTGCTATTCAAATTGGCCTAGAAGTAACGTTTCGACTCGGACGTTTTTATAACCAATATGTACAACCTGCAGTACCTTTACCTTTGATTTTTTTTTCATTATATTCTATTTTACTGAATGCTTACATGGAATATTAAACTATATAGATTAAAAGTTTCTTAACTGTTTTTTTTTTGTACAACAATTCATATAATTAGTTTGTATTAAAAAATACACCATATAAAACTCATTGCAATGGATTTGGTTTTCAGTCATCACTGTGGTCAAGCTTTCTCGGAAAAGATGAATATTTTTATATAATAGTAGCCATCTCTCACAATTACTCTGAAATAAATAATACATAAAGGCTATCATTTAATAGGATAGTAAAATAGATTAAACGGTCAATAAGATAAATGGTCAGTAAAAAGTATATACAGTCCTGGACAAAAGTAACCGCCCCCCTTAAACTCGTCTTATTTTTTATGATATGGGGCGGATGTGGGTGTGGGGTGTGGGGTGGGGTGTGTGTGGGGTGTGATTCTTCTCTTAACACAGATCCACACCCACACATCCATACCCACATCCACACACCCACACCCACACATCCACACCCACACCCACACACCCACATCCACACCCACACCTTCACCCACAATAAAGGCCATCTTTAGATTCAGAATCAGCATTAAAAATTGTATCAAATGAAGTAGTTTGAATTAGGTAAAATTATTTTACATGGAGCTTTGTTAAATAGCCATTAATTCCATACTTATGTTACTCATACATAAAAGGACGGGAGACGTTTCAGGTGCATTTCGGCCCAATTAGAAAATGAAGGAAGATTTACCTCAAACTTTCAGCAGATACTTAGCTATATGCTAGGAGTCATCACTCAAAATTTCAGCTCAATCCGTTGAACTTTTCCTCTACTACGACACATCAAAAACCAAGACCCTAAATGTGCATATGAATACCCTATAGAGGTAACCTTGTGAACCTCCGTTCTCCGCTATGCGATTCAGATCCAGAGTGATTTTTCTAGAGTCACTAGTAATTAGTGAGGACTACAATATTGCAAGGATATGAGGCCCACACAAACCTGTCTTGGTATCACTTTGAAGTAAACACTGCCAAAAAACGATAAAAAAGCTCTATAGAGGTAAACTTCTTGACCTTCGTTCTCCGCTGTACAATTTAGGGTGTGGGTGGCGGGTGTGAGTCTTCTTTTCATGCACCCACACTCACACTTCCAAGACCACACCCACACCCTACTTCATCATCATTCATTCGCTCTAAAAAACGAGAAAAAGGATAATAACGTACAAAATTCTGACATGCGATATGAGTCATTCCTTTTTCTACTCACCTTCTAACATATTTGTTCTTGCACCATTCGTGCATCATCACAGTTGAGTCAGTCTCTCTCCGTATGCTTATTATACACAGCGCAACGTGTGGATGCCCTCCCATTCTTCATTCACATTTCAACATTTTTTCAGAGTGTTTAAGTTGAAGCAAAATACATTGGGGAGTGAACATTACTCTCACAGGGTTACACAATTCCGTGTTTTCAACTTGATTGTTATTGCTCATTTTTGTCAGCTAGCATCTCGATCAGATCGAATGTCAAACATGAATCAAGGAGGTGGTGTTCTTCGCGACTCCTATGGGTCATATACATCATCGCCTCCATTGCCCCCAGTTCCCCCATTTCCATGTGTTCTCGATAGTTTATGCACTGTTGACAATCGTATATGCCACCGACATAAATCTGTGTTATTTGTAAAAAACAATGCAACTGGTGAAACGTTCGAAATTCCCTTTGGTAACTGGGAAAATTGGTTATGGTATAAACAGCGTATTAGTGATCGTACAGGAATTCCAGTGGACGAAATTCGACTAGTATATGCTGGAGCCCAAAGAGACGATTTAACCAGACATAGTGGATTGCAAATTCAAAGCACTATACATATGCTTCAACGTAGACCTGTGCACCATGCCGCTGATCACGACACAGCTGCCTCTGATAAAAAGACTTAAAGAACACGTCGTCATCACTGATGGACCGATTGGTGCACAGGTCAACTTCCAACATCAATATGCCAAAGGTACTTAATGCAGCAGCATCACCTAACATCTTTTCTCTCTAATAAAAAAAAGAGGTTATTTTAACACTTTTTAGTATCTTTAAGAATCGAAAGTAGGGTGTGTGTGTGGGTGGATGGGTGAGTGTGAGTGTGGGAGTAGGTGTGGGTGTGCCTGTTTGTCTTCCCTTCATTCACGCCCATGCCCACACCTACACCCACGCCCTCATACAAACGAACCAACAAAATTTTGTCTTTATTTATAACCAAAACAAACTATCTATACCTTTTTATAATTTCAAATATCATTTAAAATTATTTTTTAATAGCAATTATCATGAAATGAAATTTTTCTTGTTTCTCTTACATATATGATGATTCATAGAGGTATAATCAGTAGTGTACTGCGTTATTGATATTTTTGATCACGGTCACGAGCAAAACTAGATCGTGAATCATGATCACGAATTTTTTTTTCAACTATAATCACGGTAACGATCATGATCATGAATTTTCTCAGCTCAAATTCACAATCACGATCACGAATATTCAGAATGTTTGGAAACAATAAAATTCTCATCATTCTGACATGACACCTGTCTGAGAAATTGGCAGCTCCGACTCGAGAGCATCCACTCCATGAAGCTGGTACAACCATGGATTCATTTTTCGCTTTATTATTTTGTGAACAAAGATGAAAAAATTAGTGAGAGAAAAGCTCGTCACCGATACACTGCAGTCGGTGAATCACGAAATATGAGGTTCGACCACGATCACGGAGAAAACGTCTTTGCCACTCACGCTCACGATTTGAAAAAAAAAATTTAATCACGCATGATCGTGACCGTCATTCGTGATTCACGCAGTACACTAATAATCAGTATATTAATGTGTACTTTAGAATCATTAATACTGAGAAGAACTTATGTTATTAGTCATGAAGAACAAACTATCTTGAGGGTGTGGATGCGGATAAAAAGAAAATCCACAATCCACACCCACACCCTCATAGTGTATTAAACAGTTTGATGATATGAGTGTAAATACGGATAAATTCTAATCAACATTCAAATATTATTCATTAGTTGCTTGAACTAAAAAATTCAATAGAATACTCGGCAGCAAAAAAACGAATAGATTTTATCGTGAACATCCAAACTTTTCTTTTTATTAGTTATTCTCACCAAGACAAAAACTAATAAATAAAAAAATCTAAGAAATCGTGACGATCAAAAAACATCGTGAAAATAGAAAAGACAACAAATGATAGAAATAATCAAATCGATTCAGTTCATATTTTCGACTTCTCATGACTTGTCAATATTCTTTTTTAACCATATTTGAAGAGATCGACGGTCAGATGATATTGAGAATTTCTTTTCTTTTTCATGAAGCCATTCAATAAATTTTGTTCATGTTGTTAATGAACTCCGATTGCATATAAATGTAATCTTAGATATATCTTTTAACATGTAGAAGAATCAATCTCATAGCATCAATATCTATTGATTGTATTATGAGATGTCCAATTTGATTACATATGACAGAACATTCTTTTTTATATTTCCTCGAAAACTACTATTGTTCTGTATTCCAAAAGTAAGAACATTGGGTGTGGGTGTGGTTGGGTGTGGGCGTGGGTGTGAGGTATGGATGTGGTGTGTGGGGGTGGGTGGGTGTGGGTGGGTGTGAGTGTGGGGTGTGGGTGCGGGTGTGGGTGTAGGTGTAGGTGTGGGGGTGGGGATGGGTGGGTATGAATGTGTGGGTGTGGGTGTGGATGTAGGTGCAGGAATGAAGAAAAGAACAACACCCAAACCCACACGCACACGCACACCCGTAATGTAATAAAAATTTCTTTGGCATCAAATTTATGGTTTTATTTGAAACAGTTTCATGGTCCGTATCTAAGTCGATTTTAGCACCTGTTGCAAGATCATTTTTCAATGGGATAGTGATACTAATAATGAGAATAATCAGAAAGCTTTATTACATTTTTTGCTTGCCATCCTTTGGATCCTTGGACAATATTAAATTTAACATTTGCACCGATTTGCAGAAAATACGAATTAGATAATCGATTTTGAATTCCAGAAAAGTGTACGAAAATGTGTTCATTCAAGTCAATACATTCGATAAATCCATAAGCTCGTTCATTATTAAACCATTTCACAATTCCATGAAGTTTCCTGTTGGCATTCACTCTTTCTAAATCAACGCTATCATTTACAACTTTTTTTTACCCGCTGACCCTTCCATTTTTTTTCAATTCTTCGAGATTAATACGAGTGTCATCTGACATTTCTAACCATCGACGATTTTCGTATAATTGAGTACACACTTTCTGTATAAGCTGTTCTTCTTTTTCATGAATGCTTCTACAAGTGTCATGATATTTATCATCATTATTATTTGGATTTATTGTATTGAGTGTGCCAGATTTGAATTTCCATTGGCCTCTGTGATATGAAAACCCAGCACCAACAAAGCTGAGTTTCTTTTGCTTCCAACGTCCAAATATTGAACAAAATAATCTATCATGAACATAGATAGTACGGTTACGCCTTTTTGATGTATTAGGTAGAATCCAATTCGATTGCTTTATATAAATATCACCAGTTCTACAATGGACACTGCCTAGTATAAAATCATTCTCGTTTTTACATGAATAAACAATTAAACCAACGTAATTTTTCGTTCGATTAAATATATCCGAACTAGAATCAATATATGAATATCTTTTAATTCAATTTGTGGTTTATTCCGATCACTACTGTTAATGTGCATGACCCACGGATGATCTTGATCATAAGTCACTTGTCCCAGACCCTTGAATTCATCAGTGTTCTTTCTTAAGGAATAAACAAAAAAGTATATGCTAATAAAAAACAAATATTGATAGAGTAGCAGTTTATATTTATTAAAGCTAATAATTCTGTTGAAATATACTTATGATAGAAATCAGAATAAAATATGTATAGATCTCTTTGAAATCAGCTAAAACTATTTATTTATGTGCACACAAATTAACGGAATAAGACTTTTGTAATGATGCGATATTATAATAAATTTATTTCTAATAAAACAAAGTTTTCTGCATAATTTCTCTATCGAAACGTCATTGAGTTCAAGCAATATTAAAATGATTCTGCATGGTTATATTATACAATCAGCTGATTTTCGCTGATTATATGTATCCTAGCTTTATTGATATACAAAAACTTTTTCGATTTATATTAATCATTGTGCTGATACTACTCAAGATTTAATTTTAAAGAAATGTTTCAATAATCGGTAAGAATTATGCGAAAGAATTTTCAATCGAACTGTTTAGTTTCTTACTTGACTTATATCAATGACAGAATATAACTGCAAAAATTTGTAGGTTTTTGAAGACATTCGAAACAACATCATCTACGACTATTAAATATTCTAACTCTTCAGAACACTTATTAAATATAAAAGATCTACTTACTTTTTATGAAGTAGAGATAAGCAAGATTTTCTCAGCTAAAGTGACAATCATTTTCTATGCTTGTTGTTACTATTCTTACAACTATCGTTGTTTATATTGAAACTTCATTTATTAACAAGAGACAAAAATGCTATGTATTTGAATCATGAATGATAGCCAGTTGAACTTACTGAAAGCATGTAATCAAACAACCTTTTTATAAATAAATAGATTTAACAAGGTTTCTATTGATTGGGGAAAATCTTAATAATGATCACTGTGTTCAGGACTGTTCGGAGATGTACAGATCAGAATAATGAAAAGAAACTCTAATTTACAAATATGCTTTTCCTCTTCTGCATAATTAAGGAGAAATGAAAAAGCGAACATTTTTAACTTGCAACGTATACACACCTATGCACATGACTACTCAGATGTTGCTACTCTTGATGTATTCATGAAGAGAAAAGAGAAGAATAATAATGAAGAAAATCCAAAAGTCATAATTTTGTTTTTTTGTGGATAAGAAAAATGATTTTTTTGAAAGAGAGTGGTACTGGTAGATTCAAACTCTTGAAGATTACGACAATGTCCTCGCGTAAATGATTACTTCAGTGATTTACAAGTATTTTGAAATTGTTTTAGTATGCAAAAATTTGAAAGTAAAAATTGACAAAGTGTATGAATCGTTTCACTTCTATCAAGCACAAAAGAATTGATTTTTACAGAGATATGAGTTATATTTACAACTTTTTTAGATTATATTCAAGCGGTCTCCAAAGAAACTTTGTTCCTTAACTATTTAGTTGAACATATTTTATTAACCAAGTACGAAGTATTTCTTTTTTTTTTTTGATTCAAAGAAAACATCAAAAAGAATAACTTGAAGTGTTAGCTCCAATTAAGTTGAATATGTTATGGATGGCGATGACTTAAATGAATTGTAGAATATACTTCTTCGTTGCCAATTCAGAAGAATTAATGCTGCGCGTATTGATCTTCTTACAGCTATATTCGCACTCACTCGCACAAGCCTTAAAGAAATTTTTTTCTTAAAATCTTGTCAACTAAAGTTTTTCATAAATCATGGTTCCTGTTTGTTTTCACTTATTGAGCTTAATTTTCATTTCTTTGGCTGCTTCATGTTCAATTTATGAGTACCTTTTTTTCCTCAATTTGTTTGTTCTTTTTTTTTCTTTACATGATTACTTATTCTCTTTCAAGTACGATACAAGATATTAGCGCACCTTTTTTTAGAGACTAATGGAAAGCAATAGCGGCAAACTCAAAATGATGCTACTACTTACCTTATTCTCCATTATCTATTCCTTTTCAAATCTTCCACCATCGCTTTCCTATTAAAACTTGTCGAGTGTGATGCATGCGCACACTTAAGAGCAAGTACTTTGTTAGTCCATTTACTATCATATTAAGAGATGATTTTTTTTTCTGTTTTTTATGTTCCAAAGCAACTGAGCAACTCGTTTTGTCGCATTTCATCGACTCTTTGATGGTGAGTACTTTTACGAATCAGTAAAATGAAGACGATTAACATTTCGGACTGATATTTAAAACGCTAATGCCATAGAGAGGTTACTCTTCATCGTCTTCGCTGATTAAAAAAAAGCGCACTCATATGCACTGGTACGAATACGAATTTGGATAGCAACAAATTGTTTTCTCATCTTCACTGTAAAAGTGAGTTTTTCGTTTATCGAGAGTATTTTCTTCTAGTTTGTAAATGCTATTAACATTTTCTCTATTTTCATAAATCTATGGTTTAGCCAATAGTCAAGCATAAAAAATTAATCAGAACTAATTTTCTTGATACCAGAAGTTGATATCTATACATAGAAGAAATGAAAAGTCGCTTGCAAAAAAAATGGGTTGATATGTTCAAAATAAATTAAATTAGCTATGGTTTTAGGTACGTTTTAGATACACTTTAGTGCCTGTTTAAAACGAACGATAGTTAGCAGTTCAAAATTCACTAATAGACGTTGTAACCAGGTGTCAGTGTTTTCAAACCTTTTTCGAATCAAGTTGAGTATTGAACTATTTTTCGTGATTAGTTCTTGTAACTAAGCATTCAAAGAAATTCTCTTTCCAGGTAGACGATTGTTTTCAAAGTTAGTGGTAGTTTATTTGGTTTGTCGTTTTGATTCAGAAATTATAAACAAACATCGTGTTATTCTCTATTGTTTGTTTCACACATCTACAATATTTGGTCGTACAGGTTTTACATTCAAGCTTAGCCTCACCAATGTCTCATGTTTGAGATGCGTTTTGATAATTATAGCTTCTTTGGTGTCATTTTCAGTTGTCTATTCAGAAAAGTATTCTCGAGAAAAATCTCGCATGTGTGCAATTACTAATGTGCGTTTCTTTTTGTTTGACAATGCCTCTCCATTATAAACTACTTCCAAATCAACTATAGTAATAAGAGTAATAACGAGAGAAATTGAGTAATACAAAATATGTATTACTATTGTTCATCTTCTATTCAAGCAAGCAGAAATTACGAATTTTATGTTAAAATGTCCGTCAATCGTTCACAATATTACAAAAAAAAAAACTTTGTCATACGCAATAGTGCATCATGAAGTTAGACGAGGCTCAGAGAATCTTCTTTCTCTCGATGGAATCATTGAAAAAGAATCAATAAAAATGAAAGTTTTCTTCTTTCACGTGCATGCACAACAATATAAGTCAACAGAAGTATAGATTCTAGAAATCAATTGGACTGGAATCAAAAAATCGTGATCCCGCAGTTTTCTAACTATCACTGGTGTTAGAAACAGATTTTTGTTCTTTTGGGCTCTCCGCATGCTTCTCGATTTTTCATTTAATGTTATTAATTGGCCATTGATCAGCTATAAAAATATCTTACTTATATGAGTGTTCATAATCAGAAGAAGAGAAGTTTAGTTTGAAAAGTACTCGTCTTATTTGATTTAAAGGTGTCTCACACGTGTTCGCCACTATGTAAGCTGAGCATCAAACAATGACCAAGAACAGCTTTCATACGAAATAATGTATATGCTCATTCTTTTCAAAGATAGAAACTGCTAGCACTTTCTGATACGC